AACAATTAATTTTATGTATTAGGTGTTGGAATTAATTCGTAGCGTTTTACAAGTGATGGGAAGTACTTTCATTAATGTATTTTTTAATGCTCATGTGAAATAAATAACATTCTTTCATTAAAAACGCTACGAATTAATTCCAACACCTAATAGTTTCTGTTGCGCGAATCGTAAAGATGCAAATTAAATGCCTTTGTCTTTCAGAAAAAACTAGCATGGTTTATAGTCGAGTAAGGCTTGACTTGTTTATTGTAGTCTAAAAATCGTGATATGCGAGATGCGAAAAGAATTTAAAAAATTAGCTAGCTGCAAGTCTGAAAACAATTTTATTGGATTGTTAAAATAATTATATATGGAAAGAAGAATTTCATTGAAGTAAATGTAATATCTAAAATTTAGCTAAATACAGATCTTTATTGGATCAAAGTAATTATGTATAGGAATCTGTAACATGACAACCAATGTTGCAAAAAGTTTTGACATTCTAGCAACCAGCTTGAACGTCCTACATAATTATTTTGACAGTTCAACAAAAGCTAAATGTTTAACTAAAGTTTTGACAGCGTTGCTCGCGCTCGAGTTTCCATCGTAATTATTTTGGATCGGTAAAATAATTTTCAGATCTATCTTTTAAAAATTTCAACAAATATCATTTAACAGATAGAAGAACTCTTCATATACAAAATAAATAACAATAAATAAAGGGCAAAGTAAGAGTCAAATACATATTTTAAAATTGTAACGCAATTGAATAGAATATATCAAACAAAGAAAAATAAAAATTAAAAACAGATTAAAATAGAAATATAAAACAAGTTTCGGTTACCGGATTGAGTTCTCTTCAGACGTTTACATTTCACAAAAATCGCTGTACAAGATTAGTTCTTGAAAATAACCGCAATATTCCTTAAATTAATAGCTCGAGTGAGTTTTGATGTACAACTCGACATTATTCACGTACTAATTTCAACAAAGTTATTTTCGTCTATCGAAAGACCAGAGATTTCGAACTGCGTTTTCATCGATTCAAGTTCGTACTGTGGACATAACAACAGCCAGTCTTGAATTAGCGTGTCGTATCCGTCTCGACATGCTGGAACGAAGTGAGTCACCCGGTTCGTGTGATAGCCTGCCGTCTTGCATCAAGCGACCGATACGCGCCACACGGTCGACGCATATACATCGTATGTAGATGCTAAATGTACGGGGTGAAGGTCGGCTATTGAGACGTGAATGGCGCAATTTGCGGCAGCGGCGGCGACAGCGGTGGTAGCGAGCTGGACGAGCGCGCTCGTTATCAGTCACCGCTTTTAAAGGCGGCCTTAGATCGGGCCTTTAAAGCGCGAACGAGCGAGCGAGAAGGTCACGCGAATGCGCCCCGTTATCAGTGCCCGCGGACGCGATTTACGAGGGCGTTTTCGAGCCTTATCGCGTGTATACGTTCCTCTATATTACCGCGCAACACGCGCGCCCCGTTCCTCGCGCGCGGCCGCCAGAATGTCGGCACGAAACACGGAGGAACTTTCCGCACAAAACGTAAACATCGTATCGGGCGATTTAACCTAACCGGTGTACGGAGATCGATGCTCCTTCAGGAAAAATTGATGCCGACCGAGAACTGACCAAGTCAACGTCGCGACGATGAAATCTCGTTGTACTCATTACTACTCTCTGATAACGTTTATTTTTCTGTTTTTCTATCTGGACAGTCTACTACAAAAAAAGTATATAGATTATATACTTGCTTGTAGATTATATACTGCGCGCCGGGAGAATTTTGCGAAAGCATTGTTGTTATTACTTTTGTCTTCTGTCATTATACTAATTATTGAGTTGTCGAAGAAGTTTCGAATTAATTCATTTTTACAAAATTGATTTTTACATACAAATTTATTCAGGGACCACAATGATTAATGTAATTAGTTTTTTGAAGGGTGATTTAGAATTTTTTTACAGTCCATTATTATTGTATTATTAGATTACTTATTTATTATTTGATTACTTCTACGTCTCTGTTGCCCCGCCGTGATCGTGCGAATTGATTCGATCGAATCGGATAATGTAGTCGTAAAATAATTCCGCCCCGGGCGACGAAATTCATGGTCACAAACCTGATCGTGATCGATCATGTCGTTGACAGCCGCGCGTCTGTAGACAAGAGCTCGTCTGTTTGCCGAATGGCGCGAAATTGTTCCACAAAGCTACGTCGTTGGTGTTATCGGATAAGACGCCGCGCGCGTTTCTTTCTCCTTATCATTCACGATGCACCAGGTAATTCTTCACGTCAAGATAAAAAGAAAACACGATAATTCGCGAAATGAAGAGAGCTATCGCGTGCATTATCAGCTGGTCAATGTGCGCTGTATCGCGACGAAACGTCGTTCAATCATCCACGCTGTCACGTCAAATTATAAATACAACGCATCCATACCGAATTTACGAATTCATTTCACTGCGTGATTCGTTTCTCTTTACATCATTCGCAGGAAAAGTCTAAGATGTCGCGTGTAGTTCAAGCAAACTACGCGCCGATTATTTGTCGGTCTTGAAACACAGTCCTAAACCGAAGCTGGAGTAGAAATGTCACAAATTAATTGACAAGGAATTTAATATTATTGCAAATAAGCACCCCCTAAAAATTATTAAGTACATATTTTAATATTTTAGTATTTTTATATTTTTATTTTAGTATATTATTTTAATATTTTTAAAAGTATTTAAAAGCTATGTTTTAAAAGAAGGAAAGATAAAGATCATTATTTATCCAGGTGATTCTAGTAATTCTTCAATAAATATGAAAAGAAATATGCAGGACATGAATGACCTATCGTGTGTACTATTTATAATATTTATAATAGTAATTGCCTTACCTCGATCACGTTTGAATTAACCGACGATTACCATCGATCGTGAATTGCGTCGTTCAGGACGGATGAGGAGTTAATCACATCTTCGTGATCGAGGGTATGATCGTATGACGAGCATTTACTATTTATCGCGACGTAACCGTGGCCGCGCCGCCCACGAGTGGCATAGTTCCAATATGGTCGATGGAGATGATTGCATCCCGAGCATCTTGGATGATTTCAGTGCTGGGACGTCGCCCTAGAATTGACGATGATGGGCTTTACGATGCTGTTTGTACGTTGAGAGAAAAATTTTGATATTTGTTACTACAATTGTATCATAATTATGATTATTGCTATAATGTTAGTATAATAATAATTGTACCTAGTTTTATCAATAAATACATATAATTAGTAACTTCGAAAATGTGATTATAATTACTATCATAAAAATGATTGCAGTTGCAATAATTTGTAGTAATTTTTTTATGTTGACTAAAAAATGTATATAAATTATAGTTAAATTATTGTAATTACAATCATTTTATTGTCATTTTTTGTTACCAATTTTATATATATATATATGTATATTTATAGAACTTTACATATTATTTATTACTAACATTATAACAATAATAATCACAATTACAGTAACATGTAATTATATAGTTTACAAATATAAAAAATTTTTCTCTTTATGTACAACCGATATACTGCCTTATCGCGGGCGCATTTATCGCATCATCCATTCCATATTCCGGAGATAATCGATGCGTATGTTCGCAATGATAACCGATATCATTGGTCTGAACGAAAATATACGTTACTTTCGGATTTGCATACATTCGTGAAAATCTCGCGACGTGCGATACATTACTCATGATTAAATGTTTAGATAACGATGCATGATTCCGTTCTCTCGATACTCATTACACGGCCATACGTATATTAATTAGCGTATACGTTATGTCTCTGTATGACGAATATTATATCACGTTAATGAATCCTTTCGATAAAAGTATCACAGTCGTCACCGACTGTTATTTAACGCGCTGTTATTGAGTATAAAATTGAGTATAAAATTGTTATTTATTATTATATAAAGAATATATTTTGCCTTTTGAAATGTAAGAAGCTAATTATTGTAGAGTGCCCCATAAATTTAGCATCATAGAACATTATTGGTGCGTGTAATGTCATATATTACCCAATTAACACTAAAAGTACTTCGTCTATATAGTCACTAAAGATGACTCCATTTCATGGATTGGATGGTTTCATTGGATTTCATTGGATTTCATTGGATGGTTTTTCATACATTATTTGGATGAATTTGTTTGGACTTGACCTTACTTAACTTCATAGATAAATGTAAAAATTATGTTTTTCTAGCTATAATTAAACTAATAGTTGTTTTGTAATGGTTTTGTACTAACTTTAAAAGTTAGTACAAAACCATTAGTTTAGTGATAAACTACAGCTAGAAAAATATTTTTACATTATCAAGTTAAGTCTAATCCAAAGTTAAACCAGAAAATGAAAAACTGGGCCTAAAAGGCTCGGCATATCGAGCGATTAAATTATTAAAAAGTAAAGAAAGTAAAGAAAGTGATAAAAAAACCAGACATAATTTTTGAAAAGTCGAAAAATTTCAAAATCCTATTTTTTACAAGACATACAATGGTAATCCAAAAAAATAGAAACGGTCAATAATGACCGCTTGGTTTAGTGTCAACCGTGCGCTTCTTTATTGCACAACACGTCTAATTTTGTTCTCTTGAAAAATAACGGTACACGGTTTATATAAATAAAAGCTGCGGCCTTGCCTTTTTAATTTTTCTTCTATGATGCTGTGGATTTATGGAGCACCACGTATAGTTTTATATCGCCATTTCTCCGCGTGATGTGTCCCGAATTTCCATATAAATTTATCGCTAATCTCGTGCTCTAGAAGCGCATGAGAATCCGGGCACCGGCTTGCGCAATGCTTGCAGTCAGATGATACATATAGATACGAGCGATTCATAGGGAATTGCTCTCGTTTCTCTATCTCTCTTTCTCTCGGCCTCTGTAAATCCTGCGGCTGCGTTTATTTAGCCTAGACCGTCGTTGCCTCCGTCGTCGTCGTCGTCGTCGTCGTCGTGTCGTCGTGTCGTCGTCGTCGTCGTGTCGTCGTTTCTACATTATCGCACACGCGTTTTACGTACGCGCGACCGTGCACGCACACGCGTACGAGATGCGTGTTTCTCTGTGCGATAAGCTCCGTAAGCATCACGCGAGGCTCCGGCAGGCACGCAGAGGCCTCGGCTGCTCCAGTGCAGCTAATGTACACGGGTACGATGCAACCTTGGCACCGATGGGAACGAGCCGTGAAGAGCAGGTCCTGCTATCGCGTATCGTGTGTACACGTGTACGCGCGCACATCGCATACAACATCGCCTCTTCTATTGAACCAGGTTTGCCATGCGTGTGGGTTGCGGACGTTTATTTTATTTATTTTTTTTTCTTTTTTTTTTTTTACGACGCACTGTGTGTTTGCAGACACTTCATTCGGACGGGAAGAGGATTCCCCTATAGGGAAGGTGTCCGATAATCTTTTTTCGGCGATCCGAAACACAAATACGAACGTGGAATTCGAATAAGAGTGAGATCACGTCCGAGTCTTGGAGCTTCTTTTTTTAGAACGATATTCATAGTTCGTTCTTATTTTAAGACCGTTTTAAGTAAAGGATTGGCACTGGAAATCGGGGAAAATGTCAAGGAAATTGAGAACGATCAATGCAAATCAGGAAAAAAGTCAGGGAATTTTGGCAAAATTTTCTGGAAAGATCCTTGGCTTTGTGATTAAATAAAATAAAATTAAAGAAGTTCAATATGTGCACATCCTATTTTTGCAGTTTTGAAATACTACTAACTTAACAATTGAGTGCAAGCAATGCCAGCAACATCAATAGCAATTTATATTGCTATGTTAAATTGTGTTCCTTCAATAAAATATTTGATGATTTCCAAATCAGGACGAAAATACAACAAAATTTCAAAATATTATTGAAGACAGGCGGATCAGGTAAAAAACTGTGGAATTTTAAGATAAAAAGAATTTGTGACAACCATGTCTTAATATGATATACAGCTGTCTCATTCATAACACATTAAAAGAAAAATGTCAAAATATTACGAAGCAAATATTACGAAATTTGATTGCGATGACGAAATATGTTTCTGTGAAATATATCTCCTTAATTGCAAAAACTAAAATAGATAGCTTATTTGCGAAGAATAAAATTTTATTTCGTCTATATTTAAATAAATATTTATTTCAATGAAATAAATATATTTCTCACAAATATTAGGTGTTGGAATTAATTCGTAGCGTTTTTAATGAAAGAATGTTATTTATTTCACATGAGCATTAAAAAATACATTAATGAAAGTACTTCCCATCACTTTAAAAACGCTACGAATTAATTCCAACACCTAATATTTTAGGCATCTTTTTCTCAGTGCAGTCTTAAGACTGTAAATAAGATCCGACTATGAACATCAGCCTTAGAATTTCTCTCGAGAACGACGTACTAGAGAACGTGATTACTAGTTATATTCAATCGCGCTGCGCAAAAGGCGTCAAATTTTTCAATAAGTTTTTTTTTTGCCCTCCCCGTATAATCGTCGCGTGACGATTGCGATCGACGGAAGTCCCTCGTCGATCCGCGCGAGCATGAAACGATAGGCGTCGTCCAGAAGGAAGCGATCGTTTATTATAGTCACGTTGGCAGGTTTCTCGCGGTGGCTACTGACCGAATAGATGTTTCTGTCACGTATAATACAGCGACGCATACTCGTGCGTTTAATATTCCACCGGTGATCGGCATTATATACACGCGTGTATTTAATTAGTAGGAGATGGGGAGAATATATTTTACGACGTATTATTATTAATATTATTACACTCGGCGTGAATTTGCTTGATCATTCTGCAGACGGCGGAAAAAAGTGCTTCTTTTTCTCCTCTTTTCAAATTAGCACTGTCATTTTCATTGTCACTGAACGACCTAAGATCGAAGGTGCCCTAAATTTCTAAATTCATGTCATTCGGAATATTGGGACACGGAAAAAGAGACGCGCGTCGAAATAGCAAGCGAAGACGAAGATGTATCAGGTATGCTCGTCCCGTATGTTTCCGATGTTTTGTTACCGAGATTTTTTACACGTGACATGGTGCAGAATGCGCACACAGAAAAATACATACTCTCTAAATCTGAATCAGTGGATAGTCTAACTAATTACCCAGTGGCATACTTAGCACTGATAAACAATGAAGTTCAACTAAAAAGAGAAGAATGTTTGAATATTTTATAATTAAAATTAAATACTGACATTTGCACGTTAATTTCAACCTTCTAATATCATATTCGTTGAATTTAAGCACTAAAACACGGTAGATCACATAATAAAAATTGGCTAGGTTAGGAATCTCATATTTAATTCACTGATTACCAGTGGCATACTGATATCAGTGATTATCCACTGATTCAGATTTAGAGAATACTGTAAAGCAAGTAATAATTACTATCATAGTTCGTCACAAGCATCAAATTGATTCGAAATATATTCTGAATCCTAGTAAGTTTAATTAAGATTGAAAATTAAATCAAATTCGATTTGCTTATTTTACGAAGCTTATTCGCTTTTTCCATCAATTTTATAATGTTCTTCAAAAGAAAATAAATTTGAGTACGTAACAATGGATTTTTAGAAAATCTATTATAAGTATATTTTATAAGATTATCATCAAGAGAATATTCTTCGTTAAAGATAACTTTGTTAGTAAAATTAAAAAATTAATTGAGTAAGCACTTTTCTTAGCAATAGAATATTTTTCTGTGTGTGAACACGGTTGAAAAGACACGCCCTGACATACGTCAGCTTCATTAGAATATACGCGTTTTTCACAAGATTACTCTCGATCGCCGATCTTAGTCATGGTACGAGTGTCCCTCACTTCCTCCATGCAAAATGCGCGGATCTTGAACCGTCTCGCAACTTGCTCAACTTGGAATGTGTCATCGTCGTCGACGCTGAGCGAATGAAGATTAAATCTGGGACGGGGAGAAAGACAAGGGTACGCAGGTCGTAAACGCGATTCTCACACGTGAGTTTAGTTACTCTATACGGCTGTAACTGGCATAATGAGTAAATAAAGCTAAATTTATTCCATCCTGTTCGCGTGCAAAAGCTATTTTTTTTTCGCACGTCCTTTCCTTCTAATATATATCTGATGATCTTTGTCGAGTCTATTTGAAACGGTAGACATTATCGCTTATTTTTTTAATTGCAAATAAATTATTTTATTTATGTACTTTTCGAAACGAATAACATTTTCTTTTTGATATAAGGAAAGACTAAATAGGCGTATAAATCGAATAAATAAAAAAGGGTTAACACGATCGAGGCTAGATCTTTTAATAATATTTAAACGTAAATTTTAAATACAGCTTTCAGTTATATAAACTATACGCCGATTATTGTTGGGCTTGTGAAATGCACAATTATAAACTGGAGATACTGGAATAACAAAAATTACAAATTAAATTGATCGTCAATTTAATAATTGCACTAATTAATAAGCATCTTAAAATAACAAATTGCACCGCAAATAACTTTTTGCGACAAATATTATTCTAGCTAATATAACTCCAGGAACCTGGAGTTTGAACTTGCAACTTTCCTTGGATGCTTTTCATTTAGTGGCACAAGTCAACACAAGTATTGTTCTGCTCTTTGTTACTCATGAAATGCAAAGAAAGGTAAAACATTTGCGTTGACTTGTGTCACTAAATGAAAGGCACCCTCAAGCGATACAAGTGTCTTTTTATCTTTTTTTTTTTTTTTTATTTACTACGTGCGTCGCTTGCGGTGATGCGTTGAAAACGATCTTCCGAGTTCGGAACTTTCAATAAACCCGCCAACCGACAGCCGGAAGGGAGGAAAAATAGCGAAAACGCGAAATCGATAGAGGAACAAACGTTGATTGCGCTGTCAGGTGTGTGTCGGGCACGTTGCAGCTGCAAACAAAACGTTGCCATTGCCGTTTGACCAATCGAAACGCGTGCTCGTCGCTGTCGATACCGTCGACAAGTTCCGCTCGCTTTGCGACTGTCAAGTGAGACACTCGCAACAGAAACGATCGATACTCTCTTTCGCAATATTAATTAGGAAAAAGCGGGAACGAGAGGATAAAGTTAGTTTCTGAAAAGAAAAGAAGCTACAATTTTTAAGATATAATCGAATCGTTAAAAGTATAAGTGTCATTGAGATATGCAAAGAAATAACAGTTTTTTCACTCATTTGTCATAATAACAACATGACTCAAAAATTGTCACTTTTCGGTTGTCAGCAGAAAAAGAATTAATGGAAACGTTAAAAAAAAAATACTTCAAAAATGTTTTTAAACTGAGGTAGAAATTTCATTCATGCATTTTTTAAAACAGTTCTCTCAGTTAAAACGTTATATTAATTTCTGTTTAGTAACTGAGATAACAAAATTATTTAGGATCCTAATCAAAATGGAATGCTTTGCAATGAATGCACAAAAGTGTGCAAAATCTCAACACAAAAAAAAACAGAACAATAAACTGGACAACGCAGTATTTTAATTAATAATAATCTACTAATACTAGATAATAACTGGATAGCTGCAAACTATACATATTTTTAAATTTACCAGAAAAACTGCATACATTTTCACCAGGATTCTTCCTCTATAATTATTTTCAAAATTGATATTATAAAATGTATTCAAAATATTAAAATAAAAAAAATATTAAATTTTTTTATTTTCTGAAAAACTTTGTTTTTCTAAATATCGCTGTTATAAGTGATATATTCACTGTAAGAATCTCGTGATATCGTGACAAGTACCCATTATGTGCAAGTGCTCGTATTACTGTTCCCTTACAAATAGTTTCTCGTGGTAATAATTTCGAAATAATTAGCGGGCTTTCATTAACATGTCGCCACGCGAAACGGACGCATCCAAAGACAATGGGAAGCCTTCGAGAATAACACCGACGAGAACGAGAAGGTTCGCCTCGTGACTGATGACCTTCTTACCTTCTTTCTTACCTTCGAGCGGGCAATGCCGATTACGTAAGCTCGCCGGTTAACGTGTTTAGCACGGAACCGTCGGGCATTCGCCGTGGAAGAGAACACTTGACGAGGAGGAGGCGAACGAGAAGGAAAGAAGGTAGCGGGAGAGGAGCAAAGGGAACCTGCAGTGTCAGCGAGAAGGCGAGAGGAGAGAACGTGTAGCCGCGCGAACCTTGAAACTGACATTCGTTACGGTGTATTTTTGTGCGGCTTCATCTTTAATCGTCGCTAAAAATCGCTCGCGTCGCCACTTTTACGTACATTAATTTCGTGAGGGCTGCTAAGATGGTAGGGAATAAGAAGCATTCATACACGGGCTGCCTCGCCTTGACTTTTATCTATTTTTATATACACACGGCGTTTACACTTTCCTTATATTTATTATATTGCGAAATATGTGCTTTGCCGAGACGCCGACAATTATTTCGATTTCGTAATTACGAGTATCGTCGTCGACTCGTATTAAATCAAGCAAAATTAACTCGCGCGAACGCGCGCTCATTGACGGCTATTTACTCAGCAACACCTTGTTTACCAGCCGGACAATGTTTTAAGGGCGATCATCCTTGCCTTCGCGAGGCGTAACGATATTTTAAGGCTATTTAAAGCTTCAATGGTACGCTGCTGCAGCGAGTTATATTTTTATTATCCGCCGGGAGAAAATATTTTCCACTGCGAAGGGGTTAATTGTCGCGCATCGCCGAGCTTGCTCCAGATATCACGCTGATAATCGCGAACGCGTTCTTGTTGGCACGAATGTCTAAATAATCGCAATGTTAATTATACCTATTTAAATTTAGATTTAACATGAATTTAATATTTAAAATAAATTTCTTGTAAAAATCTTCTAATCAAAAATTAGCCATAAGAACTCAAGTTGTTCTTTTCGTAGCAAAATTCTGTGAATGAAGAAGGATGTCTATCATCTAGCAATGCACCTGTGATGCGAAAGAAAAAATGTACTATCTTGCTCTGACTAAAGTCGTAATCACACTAGCGATTACTTTTCAACCTATTAGAGCAAAAAC